GAAGTACACCGCTGAGGGGAGCAGCGGGCGGCAGGAGAGGTCTGCGCGCCATGTGGGACCCTCCTCCGGTGGCCAGGGAGCAGCCGGGGATCGAACCGGCGCCGCAGAGGCCGCGGGCAGCTTCGCAACCCAGCGCTCAACCGCTGCGCCACCTGGGAGGCCCCTATCTGGGGGAATCTTTCAATGTCTCTGATCACTCCGAGGCAGAAGCCCAACACCTTGGCGTGCTGTGAACACTATGACCCTCCAGTCAATGCTGTACACACTCAATGTACCGAAAGCTGATCATCACGCTGCCTGCTTTCAGTTCCTGAGAGACGACATTTTGTCTGCTGTTGTTTTGCGTCTCCTCCACTCCCACCATATGGGGACACAAGCTCCTCCACATGCACCAAAACCCAGCTCAATAATTCCTCCTCGGGCTCATTCTGCCCACACTTCTACTAGTACATGAGCCCAGTGTTTTTCAGCTCTTTTTATTGTTTTTTATTTGTTTCATTTTTTTTATTGAGGTAACATTGGTTTAGAACTATATATAATCAGAGGTACAGGATCACACCTCTTCAGACAGAGGTTACCACACCACACTGACCACCAAAGCACCTACAGTCCTTCACCAGAGACCATGGTCCCTCCCCCAAGGAGTCCCCGCTCCCCTCTGGGGTTGTCTCTTTATTAGTCTCTACAACACCACAGATGGTCTGTAAAGAATGGCTTTTACCTTACTCATTATTTTATCCCTTAGCACACAATTAGCATCCAACTACATGTTTGCTGAATTAAATTGAAAAGAGAAATACTTTCAGATTAGTTAACAGGATATTGCTCAAATTATCTTTCTTCAAAGTGAAGGAGAAAACAATAGGCTTAACTTACTCTGATCCCACCACTTATCACCTCCAGTAACTGTCTCCTTTCAGAGAAGGCAGAGGTCACTGTCCACAACTCCACAGCTGGATTTCAGTTCTTTCACTTGCAAAGTGAGTGGTCTTGGACAAGCTAATGAGCTCAGTCCCCTCAGTAGAAAATGGGGCAAATGCAACTTTCCCTGGTGTGAGGTTACACAATACCAAGTGTCCTCCGTGTGCAAAAGAGAGTGCCAAGTACTGAGCTGGCACAGAGTAAATGGGTAGCAAGGGGTAACTCAGCATGGGTGCTGCGCATTTCCAGCCTATCAAATAGATGAGTATCACTCACTTCATCCTCAATGAGATAAACCCCACCTGGATGCACTTTGCCTTATGCCCCTCATTGTGTCCCAGGGTTTTGATGGCAAAACCTTTGTACCCACATCATCAGTTTCTCTTTCCAAATTCTGGTTTGGTTTGTTTTGGTTTTTCTGTCCCAAGTATCCCAATAGAACTATCATCGCAAGGAACAGAGCAGGAAAAGCAAGGACTGACAATGCAAGACAGGCTGTGGACAAATAAGGAAGAACTTCTTGACTACAGCTCTGATTCAACTGTGGAACAGACTCAAAAGGAATTCTTGGTAAAATGTCAAGTAAGGAGAGCTCACACCTCGGTAAGGATGACATGATTTCACGCTGGGATAATGAAACCTCAATTTAACTACACCTTGCACAGATGGCTCCCTCCATCAGAAACACCAGCAGTGGAAAGGCTGATGACATTTGAGGCATGCGCGTCATCCAGGGAAGCAAAGGGACGAAAGGAATGCTCCCTTAAAGCTTTCTTCTGCTCAGAAACATAGCACAGACCTCTAGGCAGTATCAACAGAAACAAATGGGATCAAATGTTTCAGCTTAATAGCACAGTACTGTTTAAACTTGACAACAAAATAAAGCATGTGGTGGTGGTTATTTTTATTATAGCGAGGCAGGTCCACATGGTAAAAAACCCGTGGATCCAGGACCGAACCGCAGTTCCTATACTTTTTGCTGTGTGACCTTTTAAGGCACCTAATCTCATGAATGCTACCTAAGGGCTTGACAAAAATGTTAGGATTCAGTATGCACTCAAAAGCAGCTTATATACAACCTTGTGCTTAAAAAGTACTACTTACTGGTGCTGCCATGAGAAATCTTAACGATGTCTTTATTTTTGTTTACTTCTAGAAATTCAGCTTGCTGACCAGCAAATCCTTTCCCTGATCATGAAATAGGTCTAAAACCCAGAGGTCAATTTGATGTGGTGAAATGGAAACTGAAGTTTTTCCACACAGATCATCAAATCATAATCATTTCCAGACTAAATGATGGTAAAACAAACATTATTTGTTGTGCGTTCATTGTGACCAGTCACCTTCCAAGCTGTTAAGTGATTGCAAGGCATGAAATATGATAGGCATGTAGCTTGTGCCACATGCTGAATAAAGTGGCATATGTATTAGTAAATCACCAGAGTTCTCTTTGGTCCTCAGTTTTGAAAATTCAAAAACCTGGCTTGCTGCCACATTTATTCATTCAAAAATTAATTAATGAGCACCTACCCTGTACCAGATACTATGCCAGATAATATGGAAAACACATCATTAAATGATAACCTGCTGTCACAAAGCAGACAATCTGGCAGAGATGACAGATATAAGTTAAATATGTACCACCAAAAATTTGATCATCAATAAATTGATTTATAATGAGAATAGTTTCACACAGACTAGAACTCTTACTACTATAAGACCAATCCATCTCTTGCCTGTGATCATGGATACACAAAGATGGACACAGAAATCCACATAGGACAGCACCAGAGGGAACAGGTGTCACTGTGACAAACATCTCTTTAGGGTTGAGAATTCCCTACTCTCAGCCTTCCAACTTCCCATGCTTCATTCTACCAATATTTGCAGCTTTTCTCAAAAAGACCACTATTGACGTATTCAATTTCTCCTTCCTGTATTACAATCACACACTTATCTTGCATCACCAAGGTTCTTATCACTGGTACTTTCTATGTTCCCAAACCTCTTCTATCATGTATCTGTACAAATAATGCTATTCATTTCAAAGGTATCTATCTGCCTATATTCAATCTTTCTGGAATCTACTACTTCAAACTTCAGAGAGCAACATTTCTGCTATTTTCCAGTTTGGGGTTGCTGTGGTGGGACAGAAGAGGCCTTTTGTGTAGTTGGACACTGAAACTGTTGTCCCATAAACCCTCAAAATAACTCATATTTAACCTACAAAACAACCCAACAAGGCACAGAAGTTAATTTTAAATAAATTGTTAAGCATACTATACACCAGACTATGTTGGGCATTTCATAAAGATCAAACTTAAAACAGTTGCTGGCAGGTTCATAGCCCAAGGTCAGTGCTCATTTTCTGCTGGTGCTGCTATGAACTATAAGCAGGACTGGAGGTAAAAACAGAAAAGGCATACCAGCATGAAAAGTCTCAACAGAAATTCAAATCAGTAAGTGAACATTGAAGTCAATGCCAAAGTATCTTGTGTTATTTAACTTTAAACAAAAGTAACATTCATGATAAACTAAGATGTTGCAATCATATAGAAAATACATCTTGAAGGGAATGCTCAAGGTTTTTGTTGATGATTAAACATATAAGGAAAAAATTTTTGTACTTCTACCAAATTCCCCTGAATGTAATAAGACAGTCTCACACCCTGAGTGAGTGGTAGTTCAGAAAGAATATTACCGAAATGTGTGCCAGTGAGTTGCAGGCAGCACTTAAGTTATAGTCAGCAATTACAAAGCCTTGTCCTTATAGGTGGACCAGGGAGTCAAAATAAGGATCCCCAGAAATGATCCCCATTTATGCATTCACCCTAATGAACCACTGCATAAATTAGAAGGCTATAATTAGGGCTCTCTTTCCAGTGACTAAAATTAACATAATTCCCAGTTTCAGAGGAGTCACACAACCCCAGGTTACATTCATTCAACAATGCTTTACAAATTGGAGCAGAGGGAATTAGAGAAACTTTCCACTGAATCTCCATGGGGAAAGATGACTTGCTGAAACTTTTTTTAAAAGGTTTCCAAAATGTAATCAAACATTAATTTGATCTAGTCTATAGAGAATATGTCAGTTAGTAGTGTATTATTTAAACAAATTCTCACTGTGTGAATTTTTAAAACAGTCAATGCTAAGCTTTAAAAGAAATGTTCAGTCCAACAGACAACACAGAGCCTGGAACTTATTAGGTGCTTTTTAACTACTTTCTGAGTACATATTCCTCTTGATCACTATCACGAATTTTTTCATCTAGGTTAAACTATGGTTATTTAAAGAAGAAAGTTACTAAGTATATATACAAACATAAAACCTCACTCCTCACCTTGAAATATGAATTAACTTCCACTACTACAAAAAGAAAATGGCGAAAAAGACATGTTTTCATAAAAATTAATGTCACAGAATGCTACTAAATTCCAATTGATTTTGTACAGTAAATCCATACAAAAACCTTAATATTTACCTAAATGTAGCAAAAATTACAGAACATGAAAGAAACAGACTCCTACAAGTAGCTATATATTTTTATTATCTAAAAGCATATTATCTCTGAAAATCTATAGTAAAGAGACCATATGACAAAAAGCCCACAATTGGGGCTGTAAAGAAATCTTTCAGAAGCTGGTATTTTCAAAACTTGATGGACAAATCCATTGATGCCACCTACACATCATCATTTGTAGTACATCACTGGAACATGTACTGCCCTAAAGTCAATTCTATAATTGTAAAACCATGATGCTGACTTCATCACAGATATTTGTTTGTTTGTTTTTTGTTTTTTTTGTTTTTGTTTTTGTTTTTTTTGTGGGACCCTCACCGGCGGCCAGGGAACTAACCAGCGCTGCAGAGGCTGCAAGCAGCCTCACAGCCCAGTGCTCAACCACTGCGCCACTAGGGAAGGCCCATCACAGATATTTGATATACAGTTGCCTCATTCCCTCATCATTCCTGAACATGTACCTAGTAAATATTCATATTTTTATTTGCCACTCTCATAAATTAATGTGGTTTATATTAAAGTACTGAAAAATCTATAAAGAAAAAAAAAACTTACCAAGCACAATGACCACAGTCTTCAGGAGACTCATCATGGTATCCCGATTCCGACGGGGCCCAGAACTATGCCGAGACATCCTCATCGTCCTCTGGCGAACATAGCCAAAGATATGAGCATAAAGAACCACCATGACGACAAAGGTCACCAAGTTGAAGATGGCCCAAAAGACCAAGTAGGAGTCACTGTAGAGGGGTGCCATGTTGGAACAATTTTCAATGTCACAGATACAGTTCCAGCCTACACTGGGAATAGCACCCATCACAATGGCCATAGTCCAGATGACTACAATCACCACCACCACCCGCCGGTTGCTCATCCGTGTATGGAGCTGCATGCGAAAAACTGTGATGTGTCTCTCAATTGCAATCGCCAAAAGGTTGGCCACAGATGCCGTCAGGCTGGTGTCAATGAGGCCCTGACGGAGGAGCCACGTGCTGACGGTCAGTCTCCGAGTATTGGGCCCCGTGTTGAACATTAAGTAGAAGTAGGCCAACCCAGCAAAGAAGTCTGCAGCAGCCAGATTAGCCATTAAGTAATAAATAGGAAAATGGAAGCGACGGTTGACGTAGATTGCCACCATGACTAGTAGGTTGGCCAACATGATGAAGATGCACACAGTGATCCCAAGTCCCATGACAAGTTTGCTGACTGTGTTCCATTCTGTGGCAAGATACTTTCCACTCCGGTTATAGAAGAAGGCGATAGACTCATTGTAGAAGCACTGTGGTTCATTCATGGCTGTGAACTAAGAGAAAGGAAGAAAGATGAAAAAAAAAGGAAGAAACCACAGATTCAAACTAAAAGACATATCGTACAAGACTTCTCTGGTAAATATGGCAAAGAAAACAAAATGAAAGCACTTGAAAAATCTCATTCCAAATATGTTCTATGATTATATTGAAACCCCAAGGATTCTCACTGTATTACCATCCTCAAGATTAAAGACAGTTGGAGTTAAATAAATGACAAGGTCTGTGCTTGGTGGTTGCATGTCATTGAAGTCAACTCAAAAAGCCACATGGCCCAAAAATCTTGCTTAAAATACATGAGACAGATGAGAATTTTGCAGAACATTGCAATTGGAATATTTACCATAGTAAAATCTATTTTGACCTGTTATTTAGGGTATCTGTAAACACAGTTGGTTTATAAATAGGATAGTATTGCCCTATTATTCTACATTTCTGTTCTCACATAGTATGTTTGATTTCTCACAGACACTTTGTAATGTAAGTCCCCACAAGGAACACCAGTCCTAACATTTTAAAGAGGTCACTATGCATCAAACGTTCTTTGACCAAAGCCAGCATGTACTGTTCGACATTCCTGTGGTCAGCTCTGTCTACCCCCATGACTCCTTATCCCCAGAATAGCATTCATCAACCAATCTATAACATTTGAGAACTTTTTCTTTTTGGAAGACAAGAGATATATGCTACCTAATGTAACCTCCACAGAGCAGTTGTCACTTTGACACTGCTCTACAAAAAGCAAAATATATATATTTTAAAATGTGGAGTCATATTGTTTCATTATGTGTTTTCCTAAATTTTAACATCATCAATTAGAGTATACTTGATTATTTATATTCTCACTTCAATCCAAAAAGGATTGAGGATGCTTATAATAATACAGTTAATCATACTATGAAAATGACATTAGAAAATAAAAAGTTACGAAGGAGAAGCTGAAAAAAAGTTCATATCAAGTAAAATAAATCACTCTTCCTGAGCCTTGTTTGTCTGGGATGCCGAGAATTAGAATTCTTGAAGACAGCTCACATCCCGCCTTTTTCTTTATATCTTGCACTTAGTTTAAAAAATTCTTAGCAAATATGACCACTAGTTTGATCAAATAGTATTCTGAATATCCCTGGATTGTACCGTAAGAGCCAAAAGGAGGAAGAAGCAAATGTGCAGGCTGACATGCGAAAAAGAAAGATGAGGCAGAGGGGAAGTAAACTTATAGCACCCATGGAAGCCACAGGAGCAGAAATAAGCCAGAAGCCAGGAACGCTGGCATGATTGTTGGGTTGCATGCTACTGTCTAGAGTTTCGTCTCAAGGAATCTAGAACATCCATCACCATCTGATTTCTGTGACCACCTTTGAGACCACCTTTCTCATACCAAAACCTTTTGATCCTTTGCTCTGGACCTATGACATCCCTGACTAGTTCTGTTCTCAGTTGGCTGAATGTAATGTGTGTACAATAATTCATCTCTTCTGCTATGTTAGCTGAAGGATAAAAATTAAAATAAAAAAAACCCTGAGATGTGAGACCCAGTGTTAGGAGTCTTGAAGATCTCTAGTATCAGTAAAATAGTAGAAAAAAATTATAATAATAATAATAATAATCTACCCAGTTGCACTGGGGAAAATAAAGAAGTTTGACTGTGTTAGTTTAGGCCACTGAACAAATAAAAGACTCTCTTAAGAAATCATGACCCAAACTCTATAGATCATACAAGTTAGACTATCAAACCCAAGAACCCACAGGGGAGAAAATAACATTAATTGTATCCTGAGCGGGTGATATCCCCAGCCCCTCCCATTCCACGTGCCTGGCACTAGCAAGCATCAAACCTCTCTGGAAGGCCAGATATCAATGCAGTCACACATGATTCTCCTAAATCAGCCCCACTAAGGATGAACTCATCATCCAAACAAGTGAAAGGACAGAAGGGTTACCATGTAGAATCAGGAGAATAGTCTGCAGCAGGATTAAGTCCACAAATATCAGATTGAAGAGAAAGGAACTGATGATGTTATTATATTCCTGCCCCCTTTCCCTACCATCTGGCTCAAGAGTTATACTTTCTATTATTTAATGCTCATTCTCGGTATTTTAACATACATATTTATAAGTCTAAAGGTAACCCAGTCCCTTTTGATAAGCATTCACTCCAATGCTTCTGCTACTATCTTACATGTTAGCATGGTTCAGCATTTTACTGCCATTTGTTTTGAAATGTACACACATATAAGATCAAGATGAAATAGGGTTTTTTCCAAGATGCAAAGACCATTTAACATTTCAAAATCTGGTAATATAATTCATCACATGAAAAAACTGAAGGGAAGAAAAAAGGCAAATGATCAAAACAACAAACATGGCAAAATTGTTTGGTAAATCTAACACCCTTTCAAGATAATTTAGCAATCTAGAATTAGAAGAGAACTTCCTTAACTTGATAAAAAGTGTTTGGCAATTATAGTATTTTATGAAAGTATTCCCTTGTAAAACAAAGCTTAATTACCATTGCTTTAAGCATGTGCTATGTTTAACCATGTGCTGTGTTCACAGCCAAAATAGTAAGATGAGTATAAAAACTAATGAAAGGATCAAGACTGAATTCCAAAAAAAAGGAAAAGAGGAAAAAACTAGTTATTTTTCACAAATTATATATACAGCTCCACAGAAAATGCAAGATAATTATAAACAAACTGTATTGCGAGTTTAGCGAATTTGCTAGATTAAGTATCAAGTGACCATCAAGAAAATGCAAATCAACAACACAATGAGATACCAGTTCACACTTGTGAGGACAGCCCATCTCAAAAGAACCAGAAACAAGAAGTACTGGCAAGGATATGGAGAAAAAGGCACCCTCTTACCCTGATACGGAGAAAAAGGAACCCTCTTACCCTGTTGGTGGGAATGTAGATGGATCTAGCCCCAATGGAAAACAGTATGGAGTTTTCTCTAAAGATTGAAAATCAATCTACCATTTAACCCACCAAGTTCACTCCTTAGGTATCTACCTAAAGACTACAAAAGCACTAACTTGAAGGGAAACATGTACTTCTGTGTTCACTATAATACTACTTATGCTAGTCAAGCTATGGAAACAACCTAAGTGCCCAAATCCAGATGAGTGGATCAGGAAAATGGATGTTATCTGTGCACAATACACAAAGCTATCAAAAAAAACTAAACACTTGCCATTTTATGGCAACATGGGTGGAAGTGGAGGAGATTATGCTGAGTGAAATAAGTCAAAAGGAGAAAGACAAATACCAGATGGTATCACTTATATGTAGAATACAGAGAAAACAAACTAAAGGTCAGATAAAACCAAACTGAAAAACTAACCCTTGAAATGGACTAGAACTGAGGCTACCAGAGAGGGAGCAGGAGGGGGTGGTATGAAGACAATGTGGGGAGGCACACAGAGAATGGTGGTGGTGGAATACAGATGTTTGGTGGTAGGTGTGGTGTGGTAACAACACCAGAAGGGAGAGAGCCTATACTTCTAAAAAACAGCTATGTAAACCAGTGTTAGCTCAGTAAAAATAAATATCAAGTGACATAATATCAATGGTATTCTTTTTTTTTTTTTTTTTTTGTGGGACCCTCGCTGGTGGCCGGGGATCGAACTGACACTGCAGAGGCTGCAGGCAGCCTCGCAAACCAGCACTCAACCACTGCGCCACCAGGGGAGGCCCAATGGTATTCTTATAGAAACAGCAGGAAAACAATTATTTCAAGAAAACATGGATAACAACAAAAGTTCTAATATTTCTAGGAATAAGTTGAAATACTCAAAGGCTTATAAGAAAACCAAATAATAAAATGTTTATATTAACATCTAAGTTTAGTGTAACAAAAGGAAAATCTGAGGGTTTTTCATGGAACTTGAAGACTTTCTGAACATAGTTATGGAAGCACAAAAAAAAAAAAAAAAAAAAAACCCAGAATATTCAAGGTAATCTGGAAAACAGAACTTTGATAGATGTCTTCCAGAATACCACATTTTAAAGTGCAAGCCTTAAAATACTATGATATTGATACAAAAATATACAAATAGCCTAACAGAATAGATTTGAGAGCTAGAGCACATACTTTAATATGGTACCTTGTTTTGAGAAGTGTGGCTTTACCCATGAATGGAGAAAATAGCAGAACTGCTCAAGTGTATCAAAAAAAGAAACAGAGGATCTATGCCTGAAGTCAACATCAGGTAATATAAATACACTTGTTAAACAAATCTTCTTAGAATAAAAATCCATATGCATACTTATTACCATAAATGGGAGAATTTTTCTAAACAAAAGCAAACCATCGATAAAATACGACTGATTAAAAATTTAAGAATTCTGTGCTATAAAGGATTTTATAATTAGTGAAAAGAAAAGCTAAAGACTAGTAGGAAGTTTGGCAATGTAGCCAGGAAAGGCTTAGTTTACAGTGAAATGTTAGGACTTCCTACAAACCAAAAGGAATAGCTAAACAATCCAGTAAGCAAAGACAGGGACCAGCAATTCACAAGCGGAAACTTAATGACCACTGATGACACGAAAAGATAATTACCCTTATAGGGAATCACAGAAAGTTAAATACAAACTGCAGAGAGATCCAATAGATCATTTCATTGGGTTGACAAAAATGAAGTGTGTGAAATAATCAAGAGTTGGTGAGAACTGTTATATACATCACTGGAGGTATTAAATTTTAGTACAGCTGCTTTGAAAAACAAAAACTACTAAAATTTATAAATATGATTGAAGATTCTAACCCTAGGAAAACTCACAATGGGCCTAAGGAGACATGCATAATAATTTTCATTGCCATTCTTTTATAGCATCAAAGCATCAGAAGCAACAACTATTCGTCAAGTGGAGAATGGATAAATCCAATCTGATCAGGGAGGTACACTACAAAGCAATCAAAATGAACAAAGTGGAGCCCATGAATGCTGATGACTAAAGCAATTTTCACAAGTATATATGTAGTACACAATTCT